GTTTAACTTGGAAGTGATATCCAAGTACAATGTAGAGAAGACATTTGGGCATTGCAGCTGTGATTCAGGAAGAGGTCAAGGTGGGAGATTGAAATCAGCACTACGCTTTGGAGACAGGCAGCTTTGCTTTAACTTTTCCTCCTGCTAATTACTAGCTGTGTGAACTTGAGCAAGTTGTGTAATGTCTTTGAACTCAAGTATTCTCAATTATAAAAATGGGGTATATTAAGTTTCCTTGGGTTGCCTGTAACAAAATACCACAAACTGGTATCTTAAAACAACAGACATTTATTCTCACAGGTCTGAAGTCTAGAAGTTCAAAATCAGGCAAGGCCAGGCTCCCTCTGAAGGCTGCAGGGAAGAGGTTTTCCTTTCTTCCTCGCTTCTGGGGTTGCAGACAATGCTTGGCTTTTTGCTTTTTTCTTGTTTTGACCTATTGCTAGTTCACGTCAGTCTTTTCCACTAACACCATTCTCTTCTTCCCTTTCTGTGCTTCTGTGTTCAATCTCTCTCTACTTCTCTCTCTCTTTTCTTTCATCAAGACACCAGTCACTGGGTTAGGAGTTACCCTAATTCATCATGATGTCATCTTACCTTGATTACATCTGCAAAGATCCTGTTTTCCAAACAAGGTCACATTCACAGGTACCAGGCATGAGGACTTCAACATATCTTTCTGGGGGGAGAGAGGCACAGGGAAGAGACATAATTCAACCCACAAAAAAGTATAATATATATATTTTATTGTATTATGTATGTGCTTTATAAGAAAGTATTTCAACACTGCAGCATTGGTTTATAACAATGAAAATAAGTTTCAAGTGTGCAGCATTATAATTTGACATCTGCATATACAACATGATCACCACCTAAAGTCTCATTTCCGTACACAACCATACACTTGACCCCATTTGCCCAGTTCACCACCACCCTCCATCCCATCCCATCTGGTAACCATCAGTCTGTTCTGTATATCTAAGAGTTTGTTTTTGCTTTGTTTTGTTTGTTCATTTGCTTTCTTTATAATCCACATGTTTGTTTTCTTTGCCTGAGTTATTTCACTTAGCACAATACCTCTAAGTCCGTCCCTGTTGTTGCAAACATCAAGGTTTTATTCTTTTTTATGGTTCAGTATTATTGTATATGAATGCGCACATACATATAGAGAGAAACATATCCATGTATAAACAACACATGTAGACAATACACATATAAATCTATATAACGTCATATAAATATAATTATATGTACATAATTACATGTACATAAATAATTACATGTATTAAATGGCCTCGTCAAATTTTGACAAAATTATCTGCTAGGATTTTGGTTGGCATTTCATTGACTCTTTAGATCAATTTGTAGAGACTGGTATCTTTATAATATTGATCTTTTGGTTCAGGAAAATTGGAATAAGCCTTTAATTTATTTAGGATTTCTTTATTAACATTTTGTAAATTTTAGTATGTAGATCTTAAACAGCCTTTATTAGATTTAATCTTAGGCCTTTTATTGTTTTGATGCTATTGTAAATCATAATTGAAAAAAAAATCTGCTAATTGTGACTGGTATATAAAAATGCAAATAATCTTTTATGTTGTTCTTATATTGAGCAATTTAACTAAATGAACTTATTGAGAGTAATTTATATGGAGATTTCTTGGTATGAATACAAATCACATCATCTGTAAATATTGACAGTTTTATTTCTTGACTTCCAATCTTACTTTTTGCTCCTTTTCACTACATTATTGCATTTATTACATTATATGGTCTAGGACCACCAGCATAATGTTGGATAGAAAAATAATAGGGGTATTCTTATTTTGAGACTCATCTCAAGGTAAGTGTTCTCTAGAATTTTAGTAGTTACCTATCACCAGATTAGAAAGTGTAGTTCTCTTTCTTCTTTGCCAGAGATTTTTTTTTTTTTTGGTTATACATTGCTGTTAAAATTTGTGAATGTTTTTTCTGCTTCTATCCAGGTGATTTATATTACTTTCCTTTCTTCTGCTAATGCGGTGAATCCCATCTATTGATTTTCAAGTGTTAAATCAACTTTGCATTCTTTGAATAAACTCAGCTTTGTCCTCATTTTTTTCTTTCTGATATTCAATCTAGTAATCTTCTTGGAATTTTCATCTATGTTTATGAGACACTCTGGCCTGTATTATATAAGCTTATTAGGATTTACTGTCAAAGTTTTGTTGGTCTAATAAAACAAGTTGGCAAGTGTTTCCTCTTTTATTCTCAGGAAGAGTATGTATAAGACTGATGTTGTTTTGTCCTTAAATATCTTAAATATTTGTAAGAATTCATTAATGAAACCATCTGGGCCCAAGTCTTTTTTGCAGGAAAGTTTTACTGCATATTTATTATTTTTAGCAAATACAGGATTGCTTAGGTTTTCATTTTATTCTAGAACAGGTTTGGTGTGTTTTGTTTTTCTAGCTATTATTTCAGTTCATCTAAATTATTTAGTATATTGACAAAAAATTGATAGTGTCTTTTTGTTATGTTTTCAATGTCTGTAGGATATAAAGTGGCAATCACTTTTTCATTCTTGATATTGGTTATCTGAGCTTTGTCTTTTTTTTTTTCTCCCTTAATCACGTTATCAAGAAGTTTATATGATTTTTAAATATCAAAGATTCCACCTTTATTTCAGCTCTTAAACTTGCCTCATTTCTACCTCTTTAAGTTTTAATTTGTTCTTCTTTTTCTAATTTACTTAATTACCAAACATTTGGAGATATTTTTGTTAATTGATCACTAGCTCTGATTTAGGCAGTGGGTCAGGGAAACATACTCTATATGATTTCAGTCCTTTAACATTTTTTGAACTTTGCCTGTATCCATCATTGGACACTTTATTTTTTTATTTTTTTATTTTAAAGATTTATTTATTTATTTATACAAGCACTGGGTACAGTCAGAAGCGCGGAAGGGTGAGAAAATTCACCAGAGCCAGAGCGAGGAGCAGAGCAGGAAGAAGGACCGAAGCACACTGCTGAGGGAAGCAGCGGGCAGCAGGGGAGGTCTGCACGCCATGAGGACCCTCCTCAGGTGGCCAGGGAGCAGCTGGGGATTGAACCAGCGCTCTGCAGAGGCTGCGGGCTGCTTCCCAACCCAGCACTCAACCGCTGCACCACTGGGAGGCCCATTTGGCACTTTAAATAAATGTTCCATGTGCATTGAAAAAGTGTGTGTATTCCACATAGATGTAGTGGACATAGGTCATATACATGCATGTGTATATATTTATAAAATGGCTCAATTATAGTAGTTTTTCTGAGTCTTTTGTAGCTGTGTTAATATTTTGTCTGTTTCTTTTATCAATAAGAGAAATGTGTTAAAAT